GGAAGATCAACCAGCTGGAAGCTCAGAAATATTCTCTGATCGACACCAATGATCAACTCAGCAAGGAACTGCGCAAGCTCTCTTATGAGGTGTCTCTTTATGAGGACAGGAGGCTCTCCCAGGATAAAATTGCTCCGCTTCCCAAGAAGAAGGGAGCTTTTCCCATTCGGAAATGAACCCAGCAGAGGAATAAGCAAAACACAACAAAACCGGATGGCAACATTTTGCTAAGAACAACGCAAACCGCTGCTGAAATAAAATAAAAAAAAGGCCAAAGCCAAGCTCATATTTCTTGTTTCTGTACTGTAAATTGTGTGGTTGCAGAGTAGTTGACAATACTGACAATGTGCAACCATAGAATCATAAAAACATAAAGTTGCAAGAGACCCCAAAGGCCATCCAATCCAACCCCCATTCTAGAATCCTGCCTTGAAACCAAAAAATCTGAGGGCAACATTTTGCTCAAAAGAACACAAACCACCACTGAAATAAACAAAAAGCAAAAGCCAAGCTCATATGTCATGCTTCTGTAGTATAAATCTGTGCTCCTGTGGTTGTAGAGTGGTTGTGTTACATCACCCTTCTGATAAATACTGATAATGTACAACCAAAGAATCATCGCATCAGAAGAGACGCCAAAGGCTATGCAGTCCAACCCCATCCTAGAATCCTCCCTTGAAACCATGGTCAACCATAGCTGTTTATCATAGAATCATAGAATTGGAAGAGACCCCAAAGGTTATAGAATCATAGAATTGGAAGAGACCCCAACGGTCATCCAGTCTAACCCCCTGACATGCAGGAACTCACAATCCAAGCACTCCTGATAGATGGCCATCCAGTCTATGTTCAAAAACCTCCGAAGGAAGAGACTCCATCACACTCCAAGGCAGCGTCTTCCATTGTTGGGCAGCTCTTACTGCCAACCAGGGATGTATCTGCCAGTGTCCCTGTTGTGAGAAATTATAGCGTGTGTCTTTTATTTTGTTTTATTTTCATTTATTTTTATTTTTATTTTTATTTTTATTTTATTACAGCTGAAGTCTCCCTTATCCAAAATCTTGGGACCAGAAGTGTTTTGGATTTCAGAATTTTTTAGATTTTGAAATATTTGTATTTGCATATACGTACACCATGAGATGG